CTGGTTAATATAATAAATGCATCACTTGATGAAGGCAGAATGCCGACTCTGCTAAAAACTGCTATTATAAGACCTGTTTATAAATCAGGTTGCCACAATTCATACCAGAACTATCGCCCAATATCTATTCTTTCTTCAATAGATAAAATAATGGAAAGGTACATTGCACACCATTTAAATAAATACTTAGCAGAAAATGATGTTATAAATAAAAGTCAGTATGGTTTCCAGAAAAACAAAAGTACAGAGTTATTGCTGAAAGATTTTTCTAACAATATTAACAAAGAATTAGGGCAGGGCAATCAAGTAATAGTAACTTTTATAGACTTTACTAAAGCTTTTGATACACTGCAGTTTGATAAAATATTGACAGCACTCAAGGACATAGGAATTTCTGGCAGGTTTTTAGAATGGTTTAGAGACTATCTGAAAAACAGAAAAATTATTGTAAAAGTGCATAGTACATTTAGTGAAGAGGCAGAACTTTTTTCTGGGGTACCTCAAGGAAGTATTTTGGGCCCAATCTTATATATAATATATGCAAATACACTCCCAAAATATATAAAAGAAGACACGGTTTTTATGTACGCTGATGACACTGCAATTGTCGTATCAAACAAAAATATAATAGAGGCAGAAAAAATATGCAGAATGCTGTTAACAACCTTTTAGAATGGTGTCATGATTATGGATTGGTAATAAATGACAAAAAGTCCAAGGTCATGCATGTGCATTCACCTGCATTTAAATGTTCTAATGTAAGCATTACTTACCATAATTTTGATTGTTTACATAATCATACTTACTCACTTATCCCAAAAAGTTGTCAATGTAAGAGTTTAGAGAATGTGCATGATTTTAAATATTTAGGGGTTCATGTTGACCACAATTTTAAATGGGATATACATGTTAATTATGTTTGTAAAAAAATCAGATCATGTGTTTGCAAAATTTTTTATTTAAAAAGTGTCCTGCCATTTAATGTGCTATTGGTGATTTACCAGTCATTGTGTGAATCAATATTAAGATATGGTGTGAGAGCATGGGGCAATGCTTCAAAGACTTCTCTGAGGAAAATTGAGCATCTGCAGGAGCAAGCGCTCAAATGTATTGTTCCAGTGCACATTAAGCAGTTACCAATTATAAAGATTTTTCATTTTGTTATACTGCTACCTGTTAGTAAGTTATATATCTTTTTGATATCCACTGATCATTTATTTGATGACAGCTTGAAAATAGTCAATAATCACCCATATGATGTTAGAAGGAATTATTATTTTGTACCAAAGCACAGGAATAAGTATGGAAGTAGAACACTTGAAGTTTTTGTTCCCAAATGTTTTAATAACCTCACAAATCATATGGTTTTTGCAAATAGTTATAGCATGTTTAAACATTATTTAAAGGAACTTGTTTGGAATGATTTGTTACAATTTTAATTTATTACAATTATGCATTTAATTTATTTACATTTTAGTTGAAGTTAAAGTAATATATTATTGTTATTTATTCCAATAGTTTATTTGTTATTGTTACTGTTGAATTTTTACAGATATTTGTGTCTTTGTTGTCTTTTTTTTGTTATTAATTACTCAAGAGACAATTAAGAACTCATAAAACTGCATGCTACTGATTCAAACTGACAAAAACTGTATGGTAGATAAGAAACAATATTTTTAGTGCAGACAAACCATTTGTGGTTTTTGCACTTTTGTATCCTATGTATTGGCAATTATTGTGTAAATAAATTTCTTGATTGATTGATTGATTGATAAGCTCTTGATCATTAAAATCAGACGAGTTAAAGACCTGCTACGAACCTCAGAACAATATTAAATTTAACTTTTTAGAAATATATTTTTATTAAAATATTTATAACTCGGGTTGTTAATACGTCACCAAGTTCTTTCTTGTCTCAAATTACTCAGGGAATGTTTAGCTTTGATTTTATTAATCACTAAACAAAATCTGACAATTTTAGAATGAGCCATGGACCATAATTTAACATTAAAATGTATTTATTTTGAAATTTGTCTTTAGTTAAGGACATATATCCCAAACCCTAATAACTCCTGGAAAGTAATCCATAGCTAAAATAAAAGTCAATATTTTGGCGAATTATTTAAGACTATAAAGAGTTTTGGGAGTTATTTAGAATTAGGAATATACGTCTTTAACTAAAGACAAATTTCAATATAAATACATTCTAATGTTAAATTATGGTCCATGGCTCATTTTAAAATTGTCAGATTTTGTTTAATGATCAATAAAATTAAAGCCAAACATTTACTGAGTAATTTGAGACCAGAAAGAACTCGGTGACGTATTAACAACCCGAGTTATAAATCTTTTAATAAAAATATATTTCTAAAAAGTTAAATTTAATATTGTTCTGAGGTTCGTAGCAGGTCTTTAACTCGTCTGATTTTAATGATCAAGAGCTCAAATGAAAGCCCTTACATTACTGAATATTTTAAGCCTAGAACGAACTACAAGCGTTAATAAGAACTGGAGATATAAGAAAAATAATTTAAAAAAAAATATCAAACTACGAAACGTCCATAAGAAATGTATGGTGCAGAGTTTTCTTTTGTATATATCTTCTAAATGAATAAAGATATTTAAAAACGGATTTCGGCATTGAAATCAGTGTAAAAATGTAGTTGGTAATGATGTGTCACAACACTATCATTACATTGAAAACAAATTATCTATGTCCAATATGGCGGATCCAAGATGGCGGTCAAAAACATGTTCCCTATCAAAATGAAGTACTAACCACTCAATAAATACAGGCGGTGGTCCCAAGTCAATATCTTGGAAAATGTGCATAACAAATACATGTGAAATATGTTTTTTTAATTTGTCCAATGTTGAAAAAAGCCGCCATTTTAAATTGTGATTTTAGTGGTTTTCTCGTGCACCGATTTTTGGCAACTTTTAGTATGTCATTCTGCAAACCCAACTCTACAAAATAAAACCATAAAACGTTTTCTTGCAATTTTTTTAAGGTCATATCCTATATTTACCCGACTATAAAGCCCATGTTAATTTTTGTTAAATTTCAAATTGATTTTTTGTGCATATTTTGAGCCTATTTTATTTTTTAAAGGGATTCTGCACATCTACAGGAAAATATATTTCTAACAGTATGCTTAGATTTCCCCTGCGGTGTACACAAGCTGAGAAAAAAGTTTTTAAAGAAACATGCTTGCCTATTAATATATAGATAGATAGATTATTTTAAAGAGTTTGGTGGGCTTGAGATACTTTATTGCTTGATCCTCAAACGTCTTCAGCATTGATAAAGTCCTCATTCCACCATATCGTAGCTAGGTAGATAAGGTATGGCAGTTAAGCCCAGCTCACAGCCGTGATGTATGGTGTTGTTTAGCATACCCGCCGTGCTCAGCGCCACTGTGCCATCGATTCAACCAGATGATTTGTGGCCGGGATTTACACCGTTGGTCTCCCTCCAATTTTGGAAATTCGCGCGAAATTATTTGGCCAGCCTTGATGTCAGTGAAACGTTCATAACATAATATTAAAGATGGAATGTGATGTACTCAGAGACAAGAGATCAAATACAGAATATAATTAACACTACCTAGTATTTTGAAATTCAGACCTTTTTATTGTACTTGTTTAACTTTACTTTTTATGTCACGAAACTCTATGTTGATAATAGAATGCACCGCAACTTAAATAACCTACCGAGATAAAAGACCAAGTGGTATTAAATCATAAACCGTTAAATCATAGACCGTTCCTCTTTACTGATATACAAATTTTGTACGCAAAGGAACGAGTTTGCAGATTATGGTTGAATTGACCATGGGGTCACGGAATTATTACATAGTTAAAAGCCAAAGACGATTGGTCTGATGTGAACCCAAGCCTACAGAATAGGAGCGTCCATTCTAGCCCAGAAATAATTTTATCCAGCAATAATTTCTCATAATAATGCAAACCACTTTTGGAGCTTTGCACTTATATATAGATAGAGTGACAAACACAGTGACATATACATCCCTTTTTTACTTAAAGAGACAGACCTGAGCTCTCTTGTTATTGTTATTTATTCAGACATAGCCTTTATTTGTTGTTAAACATTTTAGTTTGATAGCTCGGTGGGGCACACGGGAGGGACTAAGGCTAACATATCTTGTAGTGTCAGCGTTCGCCACTAGAACCGCTAAGTTGACAAAATTTAATTTTTTTTATTTTTAGTTATAAAATTAACTTTTTAATTATAAAATATTGTTTTAAAATTATAAAATAAATTTTTGATTGCTAAAATAAAACTGTCATAACATAACCTAACCAACCAGACTTGCTGATAATACAAAAACTGTATAAGATAAAAATCTAATTAATGATTACTTATAACTTTTAATTAATTATAAAATTAATTTTAAAATTTTGTATTATAAAAACTGTCATAACCTAACCTAACCAACCAAACTTGCTGATATGAAAAATTAGTTGACAAAAAATTAGTGCTACCAGCGGGATTCGAACCCGTGACCTACGCAACTGACTATGCCACGAACGCCGCTGAAATCACATCGGTTTGTTACGGTAATCGTGTTGCCTCAAGAGTAGACATTAGCCACTAGAGATATGACGTCACTACACCTTTAGCCTTAGTCCCTCCCGTGTGCCCATTCCTTTGACCGCTTACTTAATGTACCTCCATCGATGTATAATAACACCGTAGAGTATTATACATCGATGTGTACCTCTTGTAAAAATGGTGTTACCGTGGAAATAAATTAACTGAATTGAGCTCAAGGTACTCTACGCTACGAACTATAGGTAGGCATTATTGTACATAGTTGAAAGCCAAGACAGATGTTCCACCCTGTCCAAAGACATAACGAATTCACCAAAGCTACTTACACAATCGTATTCTGCATCGGAAGCTTTTAAAAATATTAAATGTTATAGCAAATGGTAATATGTTTAATTTCTGGTAATATGCTTATTGCTCGACTGACCTGCACTCTGGACTCCGTCAGGCCGATCCTCATAGCAATCTCCTCCCTCATGAAGATGTCCGGGTAGTGCGTCTTGGAGAAGCACCTCTCCAACTCATTGAGCTGCGCCGGAGTGAACCTCGTCCTGTGCCGCTTCTGTTTCGATGGTTTACCGTCGTCGACGGGCTGTGGGGGTTGTAGACCCTGGGGGTCGAAGCCCCCGACAAGCCGCGCTGGAGGGTGCTGGTGTAGACCGTGACCGTGCTCCACCCCCTTGATGTCCATCCCATGGTGGCCATGGAGGTGATGGTTGTTCCTTTTTAGGTCCTCGCAGTCCTTGTGACCTAGAACATTGGAAGGGTTTGAACAAAAGGGGTGAAAAGGTTTCAGTGGGTGATCAGCATTGGGGTTGTACTACAACGTCCTCAGAATGGAGAAAGATGTAACTATACTGGGTTCAAAATATGTTGAAAACTGTGCCATTTTATAAGCTCTCCAACCATATTAGCGAACATTAGCAGATCTAAACCTTAAATTGTGCGTAACATATGGTTGGAGAGCTTATAAAACGGCGCAGTTTTCAACATATTTTGCTACCTTCTTGTATAAGTGTAGAAAAATGCAACAGACCAACGATTTTATAATTTTTATCAAAGACCTTGATTTTAATCTTTGGAACGATTTACAATGGAGTTTTTATTATTGATCCTCCGACATTTTCCACGATTCTTATTCAAAATTCAACGTAGAACACGAAAACGACACCATCTACTCAAATGCAAATGGACCTTATGGATTGTCATGCTGGTGACTAAATAACAACGAATTATAAACAGAAAATCAAAACAAATGGAAGAAATTACAATCTCATTTTTTTATTTACAGCGTAAGGTGAAAATAGAGAAGTCTGTACATTAGATATTTTTGGTCGAGATTTCGACCGCTGGACGACCTCTAGTGTTTATGAATTGTTAAAAAAACAAAGGTGAATCTTTTGTGGTTAAATGTTAATTTTAACCGAGAAACTTTTTAAAACTAAACCGTGTGTTCGATTGTTGTATGTGTCGTCACAAACCAATTGCGTTTACAAATAGCTTGTTAATTTTGTTTGTTATTTATTTTTTTTTTTTTGTTTAGTGAGTCGGTGGCTCAGTCGGTAGCGTCGCGGACTTCGGGCCCAAGGCAGCGATGTCGTGGGTTCGATAACATTTTATCAGTACAGTTCACCTTTGAACTGTACCGGCTCACTCCTTGCTTTGCTGCAAACGATCCACGCACGGGCGCTTAGTCTATGTGGACGGGCAAATGCAAGGTTAAAAGAGGCCGCCAACATCTTAAAAAAAAAATTCGGGCGCACATGAAAAGAGCCCAAAAACTCGGGCAGACGCTTGAAAAACGCCCGGACCTCCAAGGTCCCTCCCAGGACGGTGCGAAAAGAGCCCGGGCTCTTCCTAGAACTTTCACAACGAGTCTTCAAAGGAGAAAGAACCAATAACACAGTTGAAATACATGAATTTATTTACAATATTAAAAGATACACTGTTAAAAGATACATTATTAAAATATAGATTATTAAAAGATATTTGCATTACTAAAAGATAATAGTCTGTTTACCTAACCTAACCTAACCTAACCTAACTTAACCTAACCTAACCCAACCAAATACAACACAATTGCAGAACACGAGTCAGCGTCCTCCTCCTCAGGTACAGTCCCGGCCACGTAAAGAGAGAAAATGTCCAGGTAGACCCGGTCAGGCCTAATCCGCTGATGTCAAAACATAGCTATTGTTTTGAAACCGAGGGGGCGCGCTACCCCATCCCAGCGGTCATTGCTACTGCCTCCCTTTAATTCTTAGAAATAACTCGGGCCAGTACAAATTCTATAAATCGAACGGGTGATCGCCTATAATTAAGTGACAGGTCATTTTATTCACAAAGTGAAGACGAATATCACAAAATTTGAATCGCGATTCTACGTCGCTTCGTTGATTGGCTAGTCGATGTTGAGAAGCAGCAGGCAATGACCACTGAGGTAGCAATGACCGCTGGGATGGGGTAGCGCGCCCCCTCGGTTTCAAAACAATAGCTATGTTTTGACAACGGCGGATTAGGCCTGACCGGGTCTACCTGGACATTTTCTCTCTTTACGTGGCCGGGACTGTACCTGTGGAGACCCGGGCTCTTTCCATGCTTTAAGATTAGTGAACCTTTTTGGGGATTAAAATTTCGGGCTCTTTTCATGTGCTCCGGTTAATTCCCGGTTTATAGCCTTAAGCAGTTGAACTTGGTCATCTGTGCTGCTCGTCCTATGGAGCAATGTAGCTTTAAAATGTAAGTATTTTATTTCTTCTATTTGTATTCAAATAGTATTTTTTTGTTTTAACTTTGATTGTATACATAACTGTTTTCCTAAAATGTGATCTTCATTGTATTAACCTTAATTGAATAGTTTTGGTTGTGGTAATACAGTATTTAAAAAATTATATTTATAACCGAATATGTTAACTCGTATAAGAAAAACAATGAAAATTGCCTTCTAAACTATGTACATCGAATCAGTTTCTTAGTTTTAATCGGATTGTAAACGTGCTTTGTAAAGTCCTTAAACAATATAATAGCTGTAAATGATCAATTACCTTTCGACATTTAAAGCCAATGACGAAGTAAATAAATTGCCATTTAATTTGTATATGTTATGAAATGTATATAACAACGATTTTACTGCACTTCTAAAATGTTTTCACAACATGGAATGGATTGTGTATGAAATTCAAATTCGATATGAAAAGGCAATCGCATTGATTAAATTAACAGAGATGTTTTAAACCTGTATTCACTTCAACTGTAATTTAATTGGTTCTATTTTCGTACCAATTTCCTCTCGGTGGACAGAGGTTTTAGTTTTGAATATTCATTTCTATGTAAACTGGTAAAATTGAAGTTAAATCAAATACCACTAAAGGTAATGCTAATGCAATATATTTCGTAAATTAACCTTATTGGTTTTTAACTTTGATTTTTTGAACGAAATAAATTACGAAGTCGGACGATGCACCCTTTGACTGTGTACTATTTTACGTATGAGTATTCCATGATCGATATTATTGTACACTGTAAATATTTTGTATTAACATCATGGCTTACTGGTTTAAATGAGCAAATAAATAAACCAATAGAGCCAACCCAAACTTTAATAACCATAACGCTGGTTCTTAAATATAAGTAAAATATAACTCAAGGCTAAAGGTCATAAACAGTATTTACTGTATCAATATCACATTCCTGCAAAAACATGTTGTGAGGTTTTTTTTTAAGTTGGCGGCCTCTTTTAACCTTGCATTTTCCCGTCCACATAGACTACAGATCTGTGCGTGGAACGTATCCAGCAAAGCAAGGAGTGAGCCGGTACAGTACAAAGGTGAACTGTACTGATAAAAGTTAATGGCAGTGACCAGGATCCGAACCCACGACATCGCTGCCTTGGGCCTGGTGTCCGACTGAGCCACCGACTCACCACAAAGTTTGACCACAACTTAGTAGTTCTGTTAACACAGAGGTATGTACTTTATGCCTCTGGCATGAATCAAACCTAATTCACTGATAACCCTATTAAGAAGGATTGCCTACAAAAACATTTCCCCAACCTTGAACATCACACTTCCAGTGAAGCTGTGCACAATCACAACACAACTGAGCCCTTTTCAGAGAGAGTTGGTAAAAGTGTTATGAACAAGAATAAATAAATCGCAGCCAAGCGTGGAAGAGAAAGAGAGAGCCAGGGGAGAGATAGAGAGAGAGAGAGAGAGAGAGAGAGGAGGGATGAAATCGATGGGAGAACGGAGAATTCCCTAGGGAGTGTTGATAAATTTTCTCCCCTGACACTCTTAGCGGGAACTGCAAGCCATCCTGGATTTGGGCAGATGGAGCCGACGGTCTGTTTTTCTTTGTTGCCGATAGCCCGAGCTTACTTTCAGTTTCACAGTTTGTTAAAACGAGGTGAAGATGCGCAGTTGTTTTGTAGTTTAGATTTTAGTATTTTCGTTTGTAGACTCACCTTTCTCAAATTTGAAAGGCAGATTTAATTGAATGTGAAATTAACATAAATATCCTACTTTTCATAAGATTGTGTTACTGCCATGTCAAATTAATGTGCACTGAAAAAAGAAGAATTGTGATATTGTGAGTTGTGAGAAATCAATTAAGGTTGCAATTAAGATTTAATTAATTGTATTGTAGGCATGTCTGGGATTCACAAGTGTAATAATGAGTAAGTCGTAAAGTAATTTGTTTAGCACTAGCCAGGGGTCATATGATTGTACAAGAAGGTAAAAATTTCACTTGGAATATCCAAAGACAACGTGTTTAACCATCAACACTTCTCACAAACTGCGTTACACAATTGACTATTGGATACTGAAGTATTAAGTAAGTTGTATCATAGATAAAACGTACCCCCTTACTAGATTTCTCATCCTTATGGAACAGCTGAATCCAATTTTATTGTCAGTTCTGTCCGGTGCACTGTAGATGTCGTGTTTAGTTTTTTCAGTAATTTAAAATTTCGTTTAACCACATAAAACGATCTAATCATGGACAATAACTCGTCTCCTAGTTATAAAACCGAACAGCAAAGCACACATCATGAAATTAACCCTAAAATAATATAAACAAATTTCGTCTACACTAGCGATAAGTGTCACCAGACATGAACTAGACACGGTAAACGAGCTTCAGAATTTACAATGAGATGTGAAGTCTACTTGTGTTCGTTAGTCTATAGTATTATGTTAGTCTATAGGTATTAATAGTCAATGGTTAGACAAAGTTTAAACATACTAGTTTATAAATCTATCCTTCTAATGGAACAGCTGAAGAAAGCTGATTTTCAGTCTACGTACGATTTCATCCGGTACATGTTGTTGTTTTAAATATTTATTTTACCAATTTGTACTATATTTAGCCTAATAAATCTAACTAAATACAACAATTGTTTTATGGTGTTTCAACCAACGGGCAAAGCAACAATATTAAAACCCAGCCCAAAATATGAGATAAACTTACATAAACGTTCCTAACCACAAACCCACACAACACTGCTTCAGATTTACAAAGATGACCCCTCGTACTATTCATAGTCAATGATTACACAGAATTAATGAGTTATAACAAACAACTGCCCCTATCACTGTATAGTGAACATGTGGTTCATGATCCTTCCTATAACGTTGTCTCTAGGGGAAGTGTCTAATGTGACATTTGTCCGAACCCCCCGGGACCACAACCAGTCTCAACATGTAACCTCAATTATCCGGATATACTCCCTCGTACTTAGCTGTCTATAA